CATCCTTGCTCGCAGCCATAAAGCATTTCCGCAACCCGGACATCAAGAAGATCATCGTGCCGGAGCTCTACGCCAAAGTTGAGAACGAACTCCAAGCTTTGGAGCCCAAACTGCAGCTGTTGAATTTAGGCAAAGGTTCACAAAGCCAGAAAGACACCGGCTCCTTTCGGGCCGCGAAGCGCCTAAAAGCCACTGGCGCTGGGACTGAGGGCGCCCTGGCAACAGAGGCTGATGTCATGGAGGCGACCAAATTCTTTTACAAGTGGCTCGCCCAGCCCAAGAGCGCATTTCGGTCCATGCTGTTTCTCCTGGCTGGCTCCAACACATACTACTCTGCTCATTGTGCGGACGTGGTAGCCCGTGCTGGCCTCCATCACAAACCAATGTCTGAGGCCGACTTCGTTGCCGCAATGACAGCTCGGCTCCAGCGTGCCCCTGAGCCCGCCACCGCAAGCACAGCCGGCGGGTCTGATGCCACCGGCTTGTTTGATCTGTGAAGGCGCGTCAAGCTCGCGTGCCTTGCTTCCATGCATCTATGGCATTTAACGATGTACAGCTAAGCGGATCTGATGGCGTGTGCCCCAGCCATTCTACAAATAAGATTCTAAAGCTCAAGTTTTTTGAGAACTGCTGTTTAATGGCTGCGTGATTGCGTGTGCAAGACACGGCCGCCGCGCTATTACGGGCAGTCACATGTACGTATCATACCATGGGTTCTGCACAGAAGAAACTGACGCAGACGAACATTCAGACAACTGGCTTCAACTAAATTTGTAGTTATGTCGGGTCGCGGCAGTCTGCGGCAGGATTTGTAAGACTTTTGCAGCCGCAGAATGCGGTAGGACTTGTAAGCCTCCGGCATGTCAGACTCGATTTGTAAAGAAGCCTTCGATTTGTAGCGCAAGCTTTTGTGTTTGCCTCGGCACTACGCACTCCTCCTGCGTACAAAAAGGTTCTTGCACATGTAATGCGTTCAACAGCACGTCACAGGACGTGTACATTTACGAGCTGCCTGCTCTTGTTTTGCGCAAGTCACGGCTTGTCACGTGAGTATGCAGACAACACAGTTGGCATATGCACGCCATTTAGCTTGACGAAAACTGGAATAGACTTGCTCAGTATTTTGGCTAGAGGCTAGCTTGACTCCAGGCGCCGTAGTGCTCCGGCCCAGCATTTCGGTTAAGGCGCATCTGACTCCTGACGCCTTGCTAGCATGGCCTCTCCATCGGTGGGCTTCAACAATTTGGGCGCCTCTTGTTTTCTGAACTCTGGCGTGCAATGTCTCTTAGGAGTACCAGAGTTGGTATCCGTGATCCGCGGTGGCTTCCATGGCTCCAGTGAGACAGAGAAAGCATTAAGAGCAGTGCTCGACATGGTCCAACAGCAGTCAGGCTCGCTGAATCCCAAACCGTTGCTAGACTTGTTCTACCGCGGTCGTCAAGAGGATGCTGCCGAGTTCGTGCTCGGGCTGCTTCAGAACTGTTCCAGCACGCACCCAATCTTCCAAGGTGAAGAGCAACCACGACTGAGGTGCAGCCACTGCGCCTATAGCCGCGCGCTGAGAGCAGAATCTTTTCTGTCGCTCCAGCTACCACTCATGGGGTCGACACCAATTCGATCAGTGCAGGAGGCTCTCAACGCCTACATAAACGCAGAGCACATGCAGGAAAATGTGGCAGAATGGTACTGTCTGAACGAAGGATGTCTCAATTCCGGACGCGCTCTAGACGATCCAGTACACCAAACTCGGATCACCCAGTGGCCCCGTGTACTGCTGTTGTGCTTGAAGCGGTGGGACTCTGCCTACGGACTCCTCGGGCACCAGGTCTACTGCAACAACATCATTACGGCAGAGGGCAACACATACAGCTTGAAGTCTCTCATCACGCATATCGGAGCCCAGCCATCGTCTGGACATTACGTCGCCTATCGGCGTTGCCAAGAAGGATTCAGACGATTTGACGATGCTCGCGTCACTTCCGCCGACAACGTCGCTGGCTTTTTCAGCTCGGTGCCCGGGGAGAAGGTCTACGTGATCATCTACCGCAAGGAGGACGTTCTCCGACGTGTGGACCCAGACCCACATCAGCACAATGCGAACTCCGATGCAGATTCTGACGTTGTTCCATGCTTTGACAGCAAGCCCGACGCCAAGCGCAAAAGCATCGACCTGGACTCTGACTCGGATGAGAAAGGCGAAGCCTTGCGCTATTCGCAACAACAAGCAGAAGGCCACGAGCAAGCAATCATCGATCTCGACTCCGGCTCGAACAAGGACGACGAGGACCCCGAGCAACCTCCAGACTCTATCAGGAAGAGGAAAATCATTAACCTCGATTCCGACTCCAATGAGGATGACAAGGCTAAGGACTCATGCCGACAACAGGCGTCTGCAAGGCGCTTGCAAGGCTTGTTGAACTACAGCGAAGAGGAGCTCCAACAGATAGCAGCAGTGATACGTGGCAGCGCCAGTGCCGCAGAGGCCATTCGCACATTGTCCGGTAGCCTGCCCAAGTTCACGGTCAAGGATGCTTCCGCCGACACATACATTTCTCCGCGCACGGTACGCAGGTGGTTTATGAACAACAGTGTCCTCAGCAAAGCCATTGCCAGTTGCACCAAGAAGCTCAAAGGTAGCCAGGCGAAGACGGCCCAGGCCAAGCCACGAGATCCCTACGTCGGAAGCGCGCGAAGTGCTTTGGATCCAGAAGCGTGCGCGCAAGTCTCGGATGCTTTGGAGAAGGCTGACTCAGTGAACTCCCTGATAGCAGCGCTCTCAAACACGTTGCCGGGCTTCAGCTCTGCTGACGAAACTGCTACCAATTACATTCCACGCGCTACCCTGCACAGATGGCTGGCCCGCAGCAAGATGTCGGCATGGTTTGCAGCAAAGACGTCAGTGCCGTGGAACAAGGAGTTTGAGCAGAGCTTCAGCGTCGCATGCCCCAAGCCAATGAAGCGCCGCGCTGCCGACATCTCCGCCGACGACCCGGACGGCCTATGGCTGCTCAAGGGCTCGTGGTCCTTTTGCCCGCGCTGCGGGCGCCGCCGTGCTCGTGCTCGAATGCAAGTTCATGACGAGCCTTCAGTAGCTTGCCATCCAATCTGCTCCGCCGACGCCATGGACTTGCTGGCGCCACCAAAATCTACCGTCACAATCGCCAAGGTCGGCTTTGAAGGATATGTCACACCCATCATGGAATATTGGCGTCCCTGGGTAGACTACATCGGCAGCGGGCAACTGCCCCTGACAAGGCTGTTGTCAGAAGAAGAATTGCATGGCCTCGCGGTCGTGGACATCAAGGTGAACTTCCGCAGCCGGCGCGGAGGGCACGCTGACATCCTAAGCAAACAAAAGCTCAGCGTGGCACGCTGCCGATGGCGAGCGACTTCCCTGCTGGAAGTCCGCCGAAGCGATATGGCTGCGCGAGCATTTAGCTGGCTACTGGACAACAACAGCACCTACGCAGCCTTCGTGGACCGCCACACTAAGATGACCCAGGACAGCTGCCATGCGAACGAAGCCTGGCGTGAGGTGCCTACTGCGGAGTTGCTCTTGAACACTCCCGGCATCGAGGTGGCGGCGCGACCGTGGCTTTATCCTTTGGCTAGCTTTGCTGACACCGATCTGACGCAGCGACTGCAGACATTGGGTTGGATTGATGGCAGACAGAAACCCAGCATCCGGACAGGCTTCCTCAGAAAGATCATGAGCCGATGTCTGGATTATGCTCGCGACTTTCCGTTGCATTGCCTGCAGTTTGATGTGTGCATGGCCCGTACCATCACCTCTGTGATCCACATCGCCAACCAAAGACACGTCGCGCCAGAACAGATTGCAGCAGACATGGACATGTTTGAAGGGTACTGGCATCAGCAACTACGCAAAATGGAGGATATATGCAGACAAGAACATGAACGCACTGGGGACATGGCCCAGGCCTTGCCGAATATTTTCTTCACAGTTGCACCAGCAGAGTGGAAATACATCCTGCACGACGGTGTCTTTTGCGAGGACGCCTTGACCAATCAACAGGATATGATCACGTTGCACATCTACCACACACTTCAGGCTTTGCTCGAGACCCATCTATTGAAAGCCGGAGAAAGCTTGCACCGAGTGGGGATCGCTAACATCCGACAGTGGAGTTTCCGCTTCGAATTCCAGTCGCGAGGCACTCTTCATTTGCATGCTGTCCTGTGGGCAGACCTGTTGCCGACCTGGTCGGCTGAGCGGATTTGCGGCCGCACTGGTTCCAAGAACTCGGCCTTTGCCTCTCTGTTGGAAGGGCTGTTCAAATCGCGGGTAGATGTCCAATGCGGCGATGGCAGTCACGCGCTCCTGAAATATGTTGCCGGCTATCTCACCAAGGCATCTGACGCGCTCCAGTTCCAGACCAAACAAGCTCAGAGCGATCAGTCTCATTGGAGACAGGCATATAGGTTGCTGGCAAAAAAGTCGCCCATGGAACAAGAGATGCTGATGGAGTTTTCTGGTTTGGCCATGGTCAAACACTCCTTCTCGGGTGTGGCCATGCATGCACCGATCCCTGGTAGCGAAGCCCAAAATGTTTCGCGGCAGCATTACGCGGCCTATCAGCACTACCTGAAGCAACCAGGCGACACCTTCGGCGAAGCCACAGGCTTCAGCTTCATACAATGGCTTCGACGCTATCGTCTGGTCAGCGGCAAGGACAACAAAAACAATGCTCTCGCAATGAGGAACCAAGCCGGTCCTGCCAGAGGAAAAGATTGCGGGGTGGCCATTACCTTTCCGTTTGAGCTTCTAGACATCTTCGTGGGTGCCTGGGCAGCTTCCTGTATGGTAGGCATGCTCGAAGAGCGTCTCCTGCCTGACCCACTGACCGTCAACAGCATTCCAGGTTTTGAGACGGAACTCTTGCGCCGTCGCTCCTTCGAAGCACCCGAAGGCTGCCGCCACCTCAAGGCAGTGCTGAGCCTCGACGACTTCCAGCTCCCAGGCGCTGCGCCAGAACAGTTCAACCCCGACGTCGGCAAGTTCTTGGTCGAGATCGATCGCGAGCTGATGTTCCGAGGTCTAGGGCAGGATCGCATCGCCACCTTCAAAGCCAGGGTGAATGCCTGCACGCTCCTGCTAATCAAAATCCGGGACGGCCAGGAAGATCCCGCCCTCTGGAGCGCGCGCCGCATCCCAGGCACACCGGCACGGACTTGGTCACCGGAGCAGCAGGCGGTCTTGGACGCGATCCGTATCGGAACCCGCATCAGCGATGCGGCAGCCGCTGCCAGCAGCAATCGCTTGCTTCAAGTTTCCGGCGGGCCTGGCACGGGAAAGACCGAGGTGGTCATCGCTGCGGCCCGACAAGCACTTCAAGACGGCTGTCGAGTGCTCATCGCAGGTCCAATCGGTCTCCTGGTCTCCATGTATAGGCCGGGTTCTTACTTATTGTAGCCTTTCTCCGCATGAATAATCCTGCGCATGTAACTGTTTGCCTCAGGCTGCGCCTTCCGGCGACAGACAACCTCACCATGGAGACCATTCACTCAGCCTTTCAGCTCGTACGGGATGCTGATACAGCCTACATACCCCCGGGGAGGCTGCGGCGATACGACCTCATAATCTTCGACGAGGTCAGCCAAGTTGATAGCGAGTCCTGGGCAAAACTCAAGACAGCCCTAGGAGAGCTAGGCTCGATCCCCTTCGTGGTCTTCGTCGGCGATTTCCAGCAACTACAGCCCATCACTGGGCCGCCGCAACTGCAGCTGGATCTCCAGCGCCAAGTTCAAGAAGGACGGCTACCTCTTGTGGAACTGAAACATCATGAAGCGGCGCGGTCCGTGGATCCCGAGATGCTGAACTTCCTTCACATGGCTCGTGTTCAGCAACCCACACGAGCTGTCTTGGAAGACTTCTTCAGAGGACGAGTGTGGACTTCGGATGCCAATAAAGCTGTGCACCAGGCCCGATGCATCCAAGAAGCAACAGGAAAGTCTTTTACTTTCCTCACCGTCACGAACCGCGGAGCGGCCACCCTGAACGAAGCATGGCTGGCCATGGAGTTTCCCGAGGAGGCCAACATCCTCGCCAAAGGTGGCGGAATTCCCGCCGAGACCGGGCAAGTTGTATTGGCACCGGGCATGCGTGTGCGCCTGACCTACAATGTTGACAAGGACCGAGGCTTCGTCAACGGCAACACAGGGGTTGTGCGGGTTATCCTTCGGAAAGACATTTTCGTGCTGCAAAGCAGCCAAGATGTGGCCGTTCTCGTGCACCCAATCACCCTCAAAGGACGGAAATTCCTGCCAGTATCCTACGGCTGGGCCACGACAATGAGGCGTGCTCAAGGCGCCACACTCGACCAGGTGGGACTATGGTTCGATAGACGCCTAGCCGATAGAGGCTATGCTTACGTCGGTGTGTCAAGGGCCAAGCGTCGCAATGACGTGTACTTGATGGGCAGCATCAGGCGAACGGACTGGCTACCTGTGGGAGGCGGCTGCGCAGATGAACAGCGCACTCTCTCCGCCCTCAGTGAGACGTCCGAAGACGAAGACGACCGTTCAGACCACACCGATTCTCCAGACGATGATGACCCTTCAGACCACACCGAATCTTCAGACGAAGATGACCGTTCAGACCACACCGAATCGCCTGAGTCGAATTCGCAGGATGTAGATTTCAGCTCAATCAGCCTCGAGTAATTTCACATCGGCCACGGTGCTCGTGCTAGCTCTACATATTCTCAGAAAGTATTCTGCCAGTGACCAGTCGACTACGACAAGACTAGCACGGGCCTAACTTCTTTCTTTTGCTGTAAAGACGCGCGACGGCACCCGGTTGCGTGTGCAAGACACGGCCAATCTGTTGCGGCATTCACTTAGCAAATCAAAGAACCTGCTCCTGCAACCAACGCGTTCGGTTTCGTGTGCAAGACACGGCCGAGTCTAGGTCCAGCCATGTACAGCAAGAGATATGCGAGCACCGCATCACAAAAAGTGCTTCAGAAATCCGAGATAAGCGCCAGTACACGCATTCCATATGAAAGCAAGATCCTTCAATAGTCGCCCAGGTCCACATCGTCGGTCCAGCAGCGGAGGCCAGACTTGCCCATCAATGAGTTTTTTCACGTGATCTACCTCACATGTCTGCCAACTAAGACCGGTCCTGATGGCCGTCTACATTTCTCTGTCGCGGCACATATTGTTTGACTGCTGCGTAAGCTTAATTAAACACAAGCTTGCCATTGTATGCAACTTATTCAAGTAAGCCAGCGGACCACTCCCCTCCCCACCCTCGATCCTTTCTGCAGCCCATGTACACCTCCGGATCCTGGCGGACTTTGCAGAGACCGGCAAAGGGCCCCAGCCCCAGAGCGTCTCTAGAGCTTGGACAATGCGAACTTCAAAGGGCTTGGGGTCCAGCCTTGCCGCGAATTCAGGCCCTGGAGCCGCAGCGAACATTGTTTGACTGGGCAAGAATAAGCTAGACACAAGGTTGTACTGTATGCATTTTATTTGAGTAAGCCAACTGACCATTACCTGAACGATCCCCTCCCCACCCTCGATCCTTTCTGCAGCCGATGCCCGGCCTTGCCCGCGAAATTCCCGGCCTGGCCGGTCCGGCCTTGCCCGCGAAAGTCCCGGCCTCGCTTGCCCGCGAAATTCCCGGCCTTGCGCGCGAAAATCCCGGCCTTGCCCGCGAAATCTGGGTCCACGAAACCCGGCCTTGCCCGCGAAATTCCCGGCCTTGCCCGCGAAATCTGGGACCTCCAGGCCCGGCCTTGCCCGCGAAATTCCCGGCCTTGCCCGCGAAATCTGGCCTCGAGGCCCGGCCTTGCCCTCGAAATTCCCGGCCTTGCCCGCGAAATCTGGGGCCTCGAGGCCCGGCCTTGCCCGCGAAAATCCCGGCCTTGCCCGCGAAA